AAAAAAAAAAAAAAAAAAAAAAAAAAAATAAGGTGGACAGCAATAAAGAAACACACTCAACATTGACTGACCTCTGTTCTCCCATGTGTGTGGTACACATGAACACATCACACACACACACACAGAGAGAGAGAGAGAGAGAGAGAGAGAGAGAGAGAGAGAGAGAGAGAGAAGGGGAGAGTAAGGGAAGAACTAGATTGGACTGGTCTACCATTTGTTTTGGAATGATCAAGACAGGAGCCTATTTAGGAGTAAAGGAGCAGAAAGACAAAGCAGATTCATAAGAGAGTTGATATCTGTAGACGCAAAGTCCCCGAGAAAGGAAGAGAGAGTGGGTGGGGTACAGGTGCGTGAGGGCCGGTTGCACACACCGGAAGGATGAAGCCTGGAGGTGAGAGAGAGCAGGAGGGCTGGGGAAGGACTGGGGTCGGAAGGGAGCTCACGACAGATGGCAGTCAGCAGACAACAGGGAATGGTATTGTGAAGTCCGTGGTGCCCAGTAATAATACAACATGATTTCCTTCAACGGAGTGGGGTTTGGAACAGCCCCTGTGCCCTGCCAAGAGCTCACTGATATGAGACGTTCCGTCCTGTGACTCTTATGGTCCCTCACTCAAAACTACTGAACGTTTGTCTCTGCCTCACCACCCTCTCACCTTTCCCTCCTTCTTCTGTTGTGTTTACTCTCCTATAAATATTTATTTTTTTCTTCTTTCCCCATCCCTCTGAGCACCCCTCTGCCCTTCTTTCTCCATCTTCCTTATCTCCTCTCTTGACTCTCACGTGTCTTTTCGCTTCCCAGCTTCCTTTAACAGCCAAAGCCTGGAACAAAGCTGTGTTTTCATCTCTTGCATAAGCGTTTGTTTCCTGTGTTTCATTTGTGAAACAAACGAATTGAAACATTTTTGAAACAAATGAATTGAAACTGATGTTTCTTGCTGTAACGCTAAAGGGGCCGAGGAGTCTCAGTTGACTTTGTGCGGTGGACTGGTGAAGTCCTTCGATAAAACACACCTTGCTCACCTCAGTCAGGGCCCCGCCAGCAGGTACCGCTTCACCCCTACCTACCTACTGTTAGCGCCACAAAAAACAGAAGGCTTAAATGTTACTGTTTTAAAAACAACAAAACCCAAGGAACTAAAACGAACAAAGACAAAAACCCCTAGAAAGTCTATGTTGATTCAGCATTACAATTGGAATTGAAATTATGAGAGGCATTTATAAAAATCAAATTTCCAAGTGGTGGTGGCACACACCTTTAATCCCAGCGCTCAGGAGGAAGAGGCAGGAGAAGCTCTGTGAGTTCGAGGCCAGCCTGGTCTACAGAGTGAATTTCCAGACAGCCAGGGCTACACAGAGAAGACCTGTTTCAAAAAACAAAAAACAAACAAACAAACAAACAGAAAAAAAAACCCAAATTTCTGGTCCAAGTGCACATATTGCTTCAGGAAAGCGCATGCTTTCTGTTGCTAACTTAGAAAGTCATAACCTCCAAAAGTCTTTTGTCATTCCTCTGACCTGGCAAAGAGCCCCGAAGGGCCCATGTTGTCCCAGTAACAGCAGGGCACTGCCCAGGCCATACACAGCACACTGCCCAGGCCATATACAGCACAGCAAGGCACTGCCCAGGCCATACACAGCACAGCACACTTCCCAGGCCATACACAGCACAGCAAGGCACTGCCAAGGCCATACACAGCACAGCACACTGCCCAGGCCATACACAGCACAGCAAGGCACTGCCCAGAGCACACACAGCACAGCACACTGCCCAGACCACACACAGCACACTGCCCAGAGCACACACAGCACACTGCCCAGACCACACACAGCACAGCACACTGCCCAGAGCACACACACAGCATGGCACTGCCCCAGCCATACACAGCATGGCACTGCCAGCCTTTACTCTGGCTGTGGACTCTAAAGTGGACGTACCACGTCATTTGATACTGATGTTGGCATTCTTAGATGACTTGAGGTCAGTTTACTACTGTGCTCCTGCAGAACCAGCGACCCACATGGGTAACAATTTATGCCAAAAGTTAAAATATAGCCGGGTGGTGGTGGCACACGCCTTTAATCCCAGCACTCGGGAGCCAGAGGCAGGCGGATCTCTGTGAGTTTGAGGCCAGCCTGGTCTCCAAAGTGAGTTCCAGGAAAGGTGCAAAGCTACACAGAGAAACCCTGTCTCGAAAAATCAAAAAACAAACAAAACAAAAAAAGTTAAAATATAAAAATTGCACCCATTTCTATGAGCTCTACTCCGAGTCCAAACCAATGACAGCCATTACCTTTATAAACAGTGCTCAAATGTTATGACTTCTAAGTAATACCTCCTACTACATGCACCTTGCCTAAGTATCTTGGCATGCCATTTATTAAAAAAAAAATGGTTAAGTCTTAAACCATTCCATTTTTATAAGAGGAAAATTGGGAGTAGAAAGAAAGTCTTCGGAGAGTCCTGGGGATTGAAGATGGTGAGGGAGCCCAGGAGTTCAGGTTCAGATTTAGCAATGCAGGAAGAGATGGACATGGGGAGAGGGGCCATTTCATCAGCGTTGGGAACTCAAGTGTGTGGCCTTGAGTGAGTGGTCTACAACACTACTCACGAGGCCCGAGCCACGAAGGGCATGCGCAAAAGGGCAGCCCTTATGGAGAACCCATTCTTTTCCAGCCTCTTGAACTGCTCCACAGATGCTCACACCAGACAGTGCTTGATGCTGCAAAGCCTCCCTCTTCCGTAATTCTAACACTTTCCCTTTCTCTGTTCCTGGGTCCTAGCTGTCTTAGTATATGAGAAACCAATTCACGGTCAGTTTCTGTTGGGAGATCAAATAACTATCCTGGGTTAAAGATGGGCATTAGAAGACAAAGTCCAATCAACTGATCTGTTTGGGAGGCATCTAGGCAGTGGTACCGGGTCCTGGGCTCATTGCATGAGTTGGCTGTTTGAAACCTGGGGCTGATGCAGGGTCACTTGGCTGGGCCTGGGAGGAGGAGACTGGACCTGCCTGGACTAAGTCTACCAGGTTGATCTCAGTCCTCGGAGGAGGCTTTGCCCTGGGAGAGGTGGGAATGGGGGGTGGGCTGGGGGGAAGGGGAGGGGGGCAGGAAGGGGGAGAACAAGGGAATCTGTGGCTGTTATGTAGAACTGAATGGTATTGTAAAATAAAATAAAAGGAAAGAAAAAAAAAGAAGACAAAGTCCAAAGCCAAAGAGGGTGAAATTCTGGAGAATTCAACAAGTGTTGCAGGAGACTGGAGAGATGTTTGGGGCAAGAAGAGCATATTCCTACCCCTGCCGATTGTCCCACAGTGGCCCTCTGTTCACCCTGCTTATAAGGAATGTTCTTGTGCTGTGGATCCATTAACGTTATTGTAAAGTGGTGTACCTGCATTATTCAAAAGGACTCAAGTCTGCATTTCCTCTCTTACTACCTACTTCTCATGATCAAGCTTGATTGATCATATGGCTTGATCGTAATATCTTAAGAGAGTCCAAAGGCGAAAGCAACCATAAAGCTAAATGAGGTGCTTAGAGAGTTATGACCTCATGGATGTTTAAAGATGTAAAAGCAATCTTCCTCCCCAATTTCATCATTATTTATTGTAGAAAACACAGTCTCCTTGAGGTTTATCAGACGGCAGGTCCGAATGCCCTTCAGAAAGGGCAAGGTACTGGGCGTCTGGCTTAAGTGGCTCTTCTTTAAGTAACCAGTTCTTGCTTGCCAACTCACTTTTCCCTCTTATGTCTCTCAGGACAAATGTTGCCTTCCGCTTCACTGCCAGCCCCTCTCAGCCTCAGGTAAGTGGAGATTTCCAGGGGCTGTGGAGAGGTCCGCATGCTGGTATTGCACACAGGAACGGCGGAACAGCAAGAGTGAAGTCAGCGTGTGTTATTATTACCCTTGCTCTTACTCTGGGTAATCTAGCTTGTGACTGAGGTCTTGGGCACAGTTGATATTACCACCTGCACTGGGATAAAATGGGAAGCACGCTGTTTACTCCCAGCGTTCCTTGGGACATACTTCATTGAGTGAAGTCAGCTGTCTGATGTGTTCCGAGGGATGTTAAGCGGTACTGGGTGCTGTAGGAAAGAGGAGGAGATAAACACAGACTCTGTGATTGTTGACTTCCTGGTGATTGAGATGGGGCAGGGAGACAGATACGCAAACGGCTGTTCTGAACATATAAAAATAAGACTGATTTCCATTCCTGCCATAATATTGGCAGATCGAATATGTGTCCTGTCAGTAGAAATAATTAGCTATTTTTATGTGCTCCTCAATAAAAAATAACCATAAGCAGAATAGATACATAATTTTTTTTAAGGTTGTTTTCCTGATGACATTTCTAACTTCCTTTTTCCCCCTTTCATGGTTTCTGAAAGGCTCTCTGCTGTAACAAGTTCAAAATGGGTTTTTGGTCCTATGTAGCGGCTCACACCTTTACCCAACCACTCTAAACACCAAAACCAAGACGAGAGAAATGTGAGTTAGAGGCCAGTCCGAGCTACACAGTGAGTTTCGAGCTAGCCTCATAGCTATCTATATACTGAGACACTGTAAAGTAACAGCAAGAAAAGACTAGTCTATATGTCACAACATATCCTATGGTTTTTGAAGGCTTTAACATGATTTTGCTTATAAACGGTTACTTAGCTTTTGTTTTGAATATAATAAAACTGGTGAGTGGGTTGGGGGAGGGCACACAACTTGATTTGTGGCTTCTGCCCATTCCTGTGGTGTAAATCCCTCCCTCCACCGAGGCTGCTTTCCCATGGCCGACATGATGTCGTTGATCATCCTGGGAACAGATGTGCGAAGCGGTGCTCCCAAACCTGCGGAAATGAACTCCTGCGTTTGTTTTGTAGCGCTGGGGATTTGAACTCTGGACCTTGTACATGCTAAGCAAGCGTCTTACCCGCTGAGCCGTGTCTCTGGCCTCCCACAAAGCTAAGACTAAAGTTGTCTTTCTGTGGAAAACCATCCTATCTACCGATGCCCAATGGCAAGGAAGGCCACAGGGCACGATTTGTTCTTCTTCATAGTTATTGACCATTTAAAACAAGTGGTATTTAGAGGGCTAGGTAGGTGGTCCAGTGATAAGACACTTGCTGCTCTGCAGTGCACCTGGATTTGGTTCTTAGTACCCAAATGGTAATAGGTCTATGGGTTACACCCATAGCTGTATCTGACTCTCATTCAAGGGCATACAATGCCTTCTTCTGACCCCTGGGGCATCATATCATGTGTACACAGACATATATGCAGGCAAAACATACACAAAAAATATGAATAAAATCTTTCTTTCTGAATAAAACGTATTTATTTATTTATTTATTTTGGTTTTTTGAGACAGGGTTTCTCTGTGTAGCTTTGCGCCTCTCCTGGAACTCACTTGGTAGTCCAGGCTGGCCTAAAACTCACAGAGATCCACCTGGCTCTGCCTCCCAAGTGCTGGGATTAAAGGCGTGTGCCACCACCGCCCGGCAAATAAAACGTATTTTAAGGCAGGGGTTTGTAGTGATTTAGAGATAAGTAAGACTGATAATTGTTGGACACATTGATAAGTGTTCAAAACTATTGACTGCTTACGAAAAAATCACAAGCTAGTAATATATATTCATTACTAACAATAACACTCTTGAATCATAAAGTATGGCTGGCCTGAGAATCACCCTGGGACCTCTAGGCTCCTCCTTTGGAATAACCATTTTTCATGTGTATATTTGAATCATGCTACAAAATGCAGTCATACAAGGCATGAAAAGATTTCTAAGCAGGAATGTGAGTGGCGTTCCTTAATTCTGACATTCTATTTACATTGAATTAGTTCTCAAAACAGCATTAGTACAGGGGATACTGGAATACAAAATTAAATTTTGACTTCTTTACCTCTTTTTAAAAATGATGTGTTTACTAGGTCTATAAGATAGATATCAGACTCAGGGTGGGTTTCCACAAAGCCTTAATCTCAAACTTGATGTTTCTCATACACTTGCCATACTTGAAATTATTGGGCTAAATTCTCGTTTTCTCCTTTTTAAAATAAAATGTGTTAAAATGTTTTAAGAGTTAATAGGTTTTCCCAATGGATTCGTAACTGAAGTAGGTAAATAGTGTCACCTCTTTCTGTTAGTAATGTTGTCTGTGGGTTAGGAAAGATGGTTCTGGGGTCAAGAGTGCACATGGCTCCTACTAAAGACTGGAGTGTCGTCGCCAGCCCACCTGGGCTGGCTCACAATGCCTGTCCCTTGCATTCTTCTGGACTTACTGGACACCCTCTTCTGGCCTTTGTAGTCACCCACACATATCTCACACACACACATCACACACACACACACACACACACACACACACACACACACACACACACAGTCTACTGATACTTGAGAAAATACATTTACCCCAAATCACGAACATATTTCAAGGGTTCAATGTCAGACTTGAATCTCTTGATCTAAATAGCTTCTCAGAATATCTCAGTTAGGAAAACAATTCTTTATCAAAAGGTTTGGAGGAAAGATTGGTGTAAAGCTGATTCTTCCCTCTGACAAGATGGTCAACATTCTTGAGGAACAGGAATGTCTGCTCTTCAAGGCGGAGCTTCCTATTTCCCAACCGCCCCACAGAAGAAAACTGTCGCCTGACGTTACATCCTGTGTATCTCTGCTTTTAGAAAAGGCTGAGAGCAGAGAGCTTAAGTAGGAAATGGAATGGCGCACAGTCTAAGTTAATTGATAAGAAATGTCTGTATCACAAAATAAAAAGGCAGCCTCGTGTGAATGGCCGCTCACCTTCGCGGCTGTCTTCCCTGCGTGGGGCACAGAGGCCTGTGCAGAACAGTTTGTTGCTTGTCGTGTACGAGATGGATGGATGACAGAAACAGTAGCCGTCCACTGAACTTTGCATCTGAGACTGACACATGGTAGAGAACACAGTCCCACACATCGTTTGTGCTTCGACAAAAATATCCTAAGATTAATAAATCACGTCTCTCTTTTTCTCATTCTCAGTATTTTCTGTACAAATTTCCTGAAGACGTGGACTCCGTTATCATTAAGGTGGTGTCTGAGAAGGCTTATCCGTGTTCGGTTGTCTCGGTTCAGAACATCATGGTGAGCTCTGATATTGTCGGCCTTCTAGCATGTAAGATTCTAGTATTCCAGAATAGATGGTGTGTGTGTGTGTGTGTGTGTGTGTGTGTGTGTGTGTGTGTGTGTGTGTGTGA